TAGTATATATATATATATATATATATATATATATATATATATACGTATGTATTTTAATGCTTTGCGTTTCAATGGTGACTCTCGATCACCACTCGGTTTGATAACTCGAGAAGTGACTCTCCGGTGGATTGATGCAGCAATTCGAACGGCGATAATATTTATTTGTATAATAGATTCCTAAGCTCTTTACATATAATCTATAAAGTGTAGAATAATATACTATCGAATTAGGTTAGATTTTTTTATCTAAAATTAGACCGGATCGAATTATATTTTCGGCGTTAGTCCGAGTTTGACGAGTCGTGACGATAGAAATATTGTTTCCAAGGTTTGCAAGCGTGGAATACGGTAATGAAATTAGTTGAAGCGAAGATGAGTTTGATTTTTCGTTGGTAAAATAAATTCGTTGAAAAATTGACAATAGAGAGAAGGAAAAGAGTAATGAAAATAGGGATGTAGTATATCACACAACAATATAACAATATAGATTTTTAATATTCAAACAAATTTTCTTTCTTTATATGTAAAGATACATATATTTAAAATATTAAAATTTTAAAAGGCGTTTTATACGCTAATTTGTGCGTGAAATCACATTTTAATGGATGCGAGAAATCGTGTGGAGTTATTGGTTCGCTCGAGCGAAAAAGTCCTCGACTGCAAAGGATTAATAGAAATGCGTTTGTTCAATAGGTGAACATCGGCATGGTGTTGATTCGTTTCCTCGGCAATCCGAATGTTTTCGATCGTCTGTCGTTCTCGCGTGGTAACGAATCTTTGTTTATTTTCACACGTACAGACAGCGTTGCCGTGTTGTGAAATCATGATATCGCGCAATAAATCGTGGACGATAATCGTGAATATGCCGATCAGTTATCGAACAATTGCCGATAAGAAGGTACCGTGGCAACGACCATTCGATACATTATATCCATAATTCGATAAACTCGATACCACGTTTGGGTGAATTCCTTCGGATCGAGAGAGTCGGCCGATAAGGATAAGATTAAAATCCGCGTCTCTTTTTTCCTCCTCTCCGATTATTTCCTCGATCCTCCTCGTCGTAACGCTAAGGATAATTTTGTGTAATTCATTCGGCTAATATCGGCGAACCGTGTCGTAAAGCGTCCGCATAACCAATTTGGCACTAAAGACCCCGCCACGAGGCCTTTTTAGAGACCTCCTCGCGGTAGGCAGTGCTATAACATTACGGGTTACGAGTCTCTCTCCCTCTCTCCACAGATTCTCCTTCATCCTGGTTCATCTTCCTCGTCATCTTAGCCGTTCGTTTCCTTTTTTTTTTTTTTTCTTTTTTTTCCCCCCTTGTCTCGTTTTTATCCTCTTTTCTCGACCGGTCGACCCCTTTTTCCCAACGTTCTCTTCCCCTTGTATACTCGAGTCGGGGGCCCGGTCGAGTCAGGTGGAGGCGCATTGGACGGTGGATGATATTAGCATGGTAACCGGGGGTCCCAGCAGGCGCCTTATTAAATTTGTACCATAAGCAATATCGTGATGCGGCCGGGGCCCGTTTCAATTTGCCAGCCTGGAAATTTAAGTCGCTCGGCCGCGACTCGTCTTCTGCTCCGCGGCGATGCTACCGCGCGTATCGGTGTCGCGTTAATCTCCACTTTCGTCTCCGTTTAGATGATTCGGAGAATGAGATCGTGGTCGAGAACGGATTGGAATTAAATTATTCGAGCTGCAATTTATGAGCTGTGCTCATCGTTCCAAGTGGAGTTAGTAAAGAGTTAAAAAGTAGAATTAGAAATTTGAGATGCAATCGAAGGATCCTTCCCCGTTGAAATGAAGATAAGAATAATAAAGAGATGAGAAAAAGTCGTGACGCAAACACGTTCCACGAAATATCGTAAATACGTTAATGTAAACTATTAGAGGGATCTATATTTTCCATTTTGTTGCACGTATTTTTAATATGAAACCACGATTACATCAGCAGCTACATCCTAAACGATATAACCCAATAACAATCTTTCGAATAGACGAAGAGCGTGAAATTCGTGGGAAAATTAGCTTCTGCCATGAATCTTCGTTGCTTCGATGATTCATTTTAATTTTTTTTTTTTTTTTTTTTTTTTTAATTTATCCGACTTATGTGGAACACGTAAATTGGAAAGATCTCATGAAGCCAATCTCATCCTAGCGCCCGTGGTTCGTGGATCTACATATTAGCGGGTTTATCGCATTCCAGGAATTAAATATCTCCCTCTAGATACAATACTGTAGGCTACTTTACTAGCGTGTTGCTCGCCTAACACGCGAACCGTGCTGTTGCAGCATCCTCGGAGTTACCGCTAACTCGGCTCGTGATATTACAAGATGATCGGTGTTTTCGTGTGTTCCATGAACGCGATAATTAGAGAGCCGGTCGTGATTTCAAATAACAGTTTACGGCGTTTAACTAGGTTAATCGTCGTTTAGGTGAATCGAAAAGTTCTTTTCGAAAAAAAATTTATTTCTATCCTCTACACCCACTCGAGATTAGAAGGGAATAAAAGAATTAGGATACAAGCGAATTCGTATCCAAAATATCGCGAATATCGATTCAATTTCTGATTTATACTCGGTAAGATAAATTTCTAAAAAATCTGTCGATCGAAAAAATTAAAACGTTTCAAGTATGGAGTAAAAGGTTATTGTGCTGTTGGCGTTTAACGAAGGTCAAAGTTATGATATGCGTGGTTAATATATGATTTTCCAAGATATCGAGAAGAAGAAAAAGTGTAAAACGAATTTTATAAGCAAACGATAAGGATTAATTATAGCGCGAAACGAGGCGTTTCTCTGAAAGGGAAGTGGAAGAGAAGGGGTTAATTAAACGAAGAATCCTTTGTCCGATCGATAGGATTGTTCGACCTCGGGTCGGATTAATACGACCCCTTAGATTCATCATCGATGGCGACAATAGCGAGTGCGCGTGTGCCTAGACGCGGGTCTTCCTCGTGAGGAAGAAGGAGGAATTGGGGAGGAGGCGGGAAGACAGAAAGCAAACGGACGAAACGAAATGACATAATAAGACTCGTGGCAACGGCGCTAATGATTATAAATGGGCGAGGGCCGGTGTATTCGCGGCGACCAAAAGGACGAAGCCGGATGATCGATCGCTTCCCCCGATCCCGCTTGATTTCGATTTAGGAAACATCGGTCGCGCGGCCGAATTCTTGGCCAACTTTCGATCGATGAAAACGTTTCGATTCTATATTTCAGTACTTAACCTGTAAGATCGTGGTGCGAATGAATTCTATAACATTTGGATTTTCAAAAACAAAATTCGATATGAAAAATTAAACGGATTCACACACAGATTAGGAAAAGTTGAAAGAAAAGTTTCGCCGTGGAATTACAATTAGAATTTGTGATAAAATTAGATATCAACGATCAAAATGGCTCGGGAGGCGGACATGCACACGTTGAAAAAGCACATCAAAACGTTGCACATCCCAAAAGATTTAAACATAAATAAAAGTTGGCAATTTTTAAAAAATGAAGTCGCCGAGCATATCGCTGGGTCGGGATACACTGCCGTCCCTTACTTCTTCGATGTGAAGGCTTATCAAGTCGGTCATATCTTCGTCCAAGAAAGTTCCAATGTAAATTTCGTGAAACGAGCTCGAGCAATCAAGCGTCTCGAGCGATTCCTATCTCATAATTTCCTGTATGTATTATAGATACAGTGTTACTGCGTTGAACCGCAAATGAAATTGCTCGGTCCAATTCGAGATTTCGTTCTGACCGGGAAGACTAACAAGAGATGGATGGAAAAAGATCTTCCGCTTATTAAAACCACTGGCGACGAAACAAGTTTTCGAGTAATTCTATACTCATTCAGAAAATTATCGAACCGTTAAATTAAGTAACATAATCTTGCGTTGATGATTATCAAAGGTAATTCTCGAAAATAACAAGCAGAAGATAGTATTGAGAGCGAACGAATGTCATTTTCTGGACAAGGCGCCCGATTTACAGATCGTGGGACAAGTGACCATAGATCGCTCGTCCCATGAAGGTATCGACTCCCCTCTCGTATCGAATCGAATCGGATAACATTCTCCGGGAATTACAGATAATCGACGAAAATTTCCGATTTATTCGTTTGCATTCACGTTTACCTACGTTTCAGAATTTGCAACGGCGGATTGGTTCGGTCTGATTACCGGGATAGCTGTCGCCAACTCCTCGGACCTGTTCATAGCGCAAAATTCACAAGAGAGGACATTTTTCATAGGCGACAGACACACCCTCTGTTTCAAATACGAGATTTGCAAGATGGACAGAAATGGAACCGTGAAGGAGACCGTTAGTTACATATATATATATATATATATGTATATATACATAGACACGTATTCGACACGATGTATCAACACGAAATATACGAATTATTCTTTCCATTCAGACAACCACGGAAATTGAGTGTAAGTGGTTGCCGATAAAGGATATAGACATGTTGCCACTCAATCAATTGGTGAGTCAATCGAAATACAAGAGATCATAAATTTTACGAGTTGCCGTTTAACCCGGGAATAATCCTTTATTCATTTATTTGTAAACGAAAAATTACAAGTGTTCGGATAAGAAAAATTAAAATTAAATCAATAAGGTTGATGGTAAGAAAAATTATAGAGTGTTCCTTCGAAAATATGCTTGCTTAATGCTTTTTTAATGATTCGAACGTCTCGTGATTGCCCGAGGCAAAGTATACGAATTGCATAGCGAAACGAACTTTCTTAATTTCCACGAATTCCTTCCACGAATTCCTTCCTCGAATTCTTCTCACCGCGCGAGAACAAGACGCGCTTCGAGACAAAGAGAGAGAGAGAGAGGAAAGAAAAGGAAAAAGAAAAAAACTTGTTTGAAAAATTTCTCTCCCCGAGAACCGTCTTCGATCTTTTAACGGTTGTAAGGGCGCGGAAAGGGCCGTGACGCGAATGACACCGTACAGAACCTCGGATGCATAGGCCCCATGATTTATACTTATTTCCGCGGGGAGAGAGAGAGAGAGAGAGAGAGAGAGAGAGAGAGAGAGAGAGGAGGAGGAGGCGCG